GTTCTAGGCTAAGAATGTTTAAAAACGCCTGGCAGGGCACCCCCGTGAGGCCCACACTCGGCGTCCGTGAACGCTGGTGCCCGCCCCGCCGTGGGAGAGCCGAAGCGGAGCCAGCGGCCGTGGGAAGGGAGGCCTCTCGCCGGCCCTGGCGCTGGGAGCCACGTGGCCCGGCATGGTGGGAACAGAGCTGCTCTGTGGTTTCATCAGCCCAGATAAGTACAAGGACACTTGGCCTCAGGCTCTGGGCCAGAGCTGAGCTCTACTTGTGGAGGGCGGAGACCGCGGGAGGCCAGGCTGGACAGATGTTCTCACTGCCTCTGCCCAGAGGGCCCCCATGCCCGCTCAAGCCCAGGACTGCAGGCTGCGGGAGGGCAGCTCCATTCTGTCGGCGGAACACTGTGGCACTCAGCCCAGGGCCCGGCACTGACCTCCCACTCGTCGGCGTCGCTGTACAGGGTGACGGGGATGTCCTGGGGGCTGTAGAAATGCTTGGCTCTCTCAGTGGTGACCACGGCGACTTCTAGCTGTCACCAAGAAAGAAGAGGGAGGGGAAGAGAGGGAGGGAGGGAGGTCCCTGAGCTGTGGATGAGACACATGTCCCTGGGGGCACGCGAGCGAGCACGGGGTGGATGGTGCTTTGCCAGGGCCTGGCCGCGGGAGGGCTTGTCCCTCCTTGGCAGGAGCCTGTGTCTGCACAGCTACTTCCTTTGTCACCCACGGCCAGGCCTGCAGGTGTGGCTGTCTCACTTCCCCATCTGAGGGCTGCGAGGAGTCACCACCGCTGGTGCACACAGGGCAGCAGGCTGTGCCACCAGCCAGTGAGGCCGAGGCGGGAGCAGGTGGTATCGGCAGGGACCTCCAGGCCACAGCCCACGGCTCACAGGAGGGCCCCTCGAGGAGGCCGCACCGCAGCCCTGCCCTCTGCAGGCCAAGGCCTGGGAGTCACCCTGTCTGCAGCACGCCCAGCCCTGCCCTGTGAGAAAGCAGGCAGAATCCTTTCACGTACTTCGAGGAACGAGGCCTCGTGGGCTCGGGCTGCAGACGGGTTCCAGGAAAGCAGGCCCGAGTGCCTGGACTCGCGGGCCAGAACGAAGCTTACCTTGGCCGGACCCACTCGTTGACCTGTGACTTAGCACAGCACGCCTTTACCAGAAACCACTAAGTCAGGGGAGGACAGCAATCCAGGACAAGGCAGGGTCAGTGGTGACAAGGGCAGACGCACTGCCTGAACGGAGCGGTGGGCCTGGGCCACAGTGTGTGGGCCCCACCCGACCTGCAGGCACGCTGCTTGGCCCCCTCTGGGTAACCGACATTTTTGAGCCAGCTTAGGCTAACAGGAAGATTTCAAACAGAAAATCCAATTCCTTAGCTTCTCGTGAAAAACCACAAGCTCTGTGGCTGCTAGATCCAGCCTGACCTGACCACCGCAGAGCGGCAGCAGAGCATGGGCCTTGCCTCTGATCCACCCCACGCCCCGCTCCTCCCCGTGACCTCTGAGAACCCCTCATTTGTTTCCTGCCCGCCAGGGCACGGGGCAGTGCCTGCATTCTGCACAGCACCTGAGCGTGAGGCTGGACAAGTGGAGGCCTGGGGAGGAAGAACTTTGGAGGGCTGGAGCTCCCAGCTCGGCACACGGGCAGGGAGGCCGAGGGATCGTTCTCCATCCCTGGAACGTGCACAGACTCAGGAGCCTTCCAGAGGTCCTCTACACCACGCCCAAGTGCCGGAGTCCACCAGGGCGGACCCAGGGCCCGGAGGGCTGGAGGGCCAGGGAGGGGTGCAGCACGGGGCCCCGCTGAGGGTGCTTTCTCTCTCGCCTCTCGAGCACGTGCACTCACAGGAGACAGAGAGATGGGGAAGGTGGGGCGGCCGCACTGCGATAGGGAGAGGAAAACATGTACTCGGAGTGTTTTTCAAGCTGCTGGGTCCAGAACCCGAACTGTGCGGGCGGCCACGTGGAATCCAGCTGCCTTAACCACTACGCCACTGGCCCGAGCACATGCACCTTCTATCATTCGAATTACAAGGGGGGTTCCTCTTACCAGTTGTAAACATGCTGACAACAGCCCCAGGTGGCCCACGGCGGGGTGGCCTGAGAGTCCATCAAAGGCCTCATCTTAACCCAATAAGACTCATATCTAAAACATAACCAAGCCCGGCAGGTCTTGCTCCCAGAGAGCCCAGCCTAACCCCGGTGGCAACTGTTTCCTAAGCGCTTTCCTGGGCACCCACGAGCCTAGCTGCGGCCATCCGTGGAGCCCACCTCCTTTGCCTCGTTCACACACGGGCAATGCTGGCCAACTCCAGCCCCGGGCCTCTGATAAGCCTCAGCTCGGGCTGGAGGTCTCTGACCGTCTCCACCTTCACCCCTACCGCACACCCTCCTCCCCAAGTCTTCCAGCAGAGGGCACCCCCGTCAGCAGGGCCGAGCAGCCTTTTCCTTGGGGAGACCAGTGTCTTCACCCCAAGAGTTCCCGACCATCCTGCTCCGTAACCTGCTTTGTACATCACAGGGTCGTCCTCCCTGGATTCCGACACATGGACAGCTGCTCCCCGAAGATCCCGGTCCCCTGACTCCAAGTCCACTGGAGGCTCTCAAGGTGCAGGGCTGGGCCTGGCACGCCCCCCCCAGCAGTCCCAAGTGGGGACTGCTTGCTCAGGGGCTCCCCTCAGCTCTCCCCTCCCTCCCCTTAACACTCTCCTCGCGCTGCCTCCCACCCCCTGGCCCCGGAGCTCTGAGGGGTGTCCTGCTGGCTCCCACCCTGGGCAACAGCTGCTGCCTGAGATGCGGCAGCCCTCAGAGGGTGCACGCGCGGCCCCCTCCCAGGTCACGCAGACGTTGTTGGGAAGTCTCCCGGGTCCCTGTCACCAGCCCAGGAGCCCCTCCCAGCCCCCTGAAGCAGCCTGTCCTTGGTGTGACCCTGACCCCAGCTTTCTCGTAGGCCCCAGCTGGTTTTTCTGGTTTGAGAGAGATGCTACCTGATCCCACGTCAGCCTTTGGGCTTTGTTCTTTCATTTTCATTCACTGCCAAAAGGTCCTAGTCTATACACATTGGGGGAAGGTGGCAGCAAGGCCCACCGCCTTCCCAGACACTAAATAATCCAGCAATTCACTCACTGACCTGACCTGCTCTGAGCAAATGCCAAGGAGCCCTGGCAGGGCAGAGGCCTCCAGGGCAGGAAACCCCTTTGGCTTTTTCTCCTACGTCCTTCTGCACCCTGGTTTGAAACAGGACCGGGCAACATCTCCGGGAGGCAGAGTTCCTGGAAGGAGGCACCGTGCTCCGCCCCCTGACGCGGCCCCAGAACAGCTTATATAGCAGAGATACAGATGTGTATATTTTCAGAGAGATTTTTGCTATAGGGCACATGAGCTGGCCGAAAAGACAGAAACAGAGACAAAAAGGGAGAAATCACCCCACCCACCCCAGGGAGGATGGCCAAGCTACAATCCCTTCTTCATATTCCTCTTGGGATCTTGGGCACGCATGCACATGCACCTGGCGTGAGCTGTAAGCCGCCAGGTTCAGGACTTGAACCGTGGTATACTATGTGGGAGTCCAGTGACATAACCATTTCACCATCTGCTGGACCCTCCGGTAGATATTTCTAACTTGAACCCGTGTGCTGGGACGGCTCGGCCAGACCCCGTTTCATAAACTGCCTGCGTCTTGTCTACCACTTGTAGAGATTCATTCCTGAAGCCAGTGTGGCAAGCCAGTTCTGTTTTTTCTGCTGAAGAGACATCGGGAACCCTGGCCTCGAACCTGGGGCTCCTACAGGGTCAGGGAAGGGAGATGGAAACGATTCTCTCCCCCCCCCCTTTGTTCAGTTTTATGCTATAGGGTGTGTACACTTGCCAGAGAGAGACAAACACAGGAAGAGGGAAAGTGAGAAAGCAATGCCCCGGGGGGATGGCCACGTCCCTTCTCTTCCCTTCTCCTGTCAGGATTTCAGGCATGTACACACATGTGCCCGGTACGGTGCTCGGTCCAGGACCTGAACTCCCAAGTCGGCCATGTGGGAGCCTGCACCTAACCACCACGCTACTGCTAGCCTGGGAAACTGAATTCGAGGAAACCACTTGCTCTTTTAGATCCTCGTCTGGCCCAGGCTGCTTCTGGGGTGCATTATCAGAGGGACCCGCGGAGAAGTAGCTTGGCAGGGGCCGCCCCGTCCCTGACCTCTGCCTGGGAGAAGCTTAGGCAGCAACACCACTGACCCTACACTATGACAACCAAAAATGTCTCCGGTGTCCCCGGCGGGCGAGAATCGCCCAGTGCAGCCCACTCCTCCACGCCACCACCAAGCCCACTGCAATGACGGAGCCGTGTCCCACCAGTGCGGACCACAGCCACTCGGTGTGGCCACCGTGGCCAAGGAACCACATTCTGGTTAATTTACACTTCCACCTGGGTGTGGCTAGCGCTCCCACAGGGACCGCACAGTTCAGTGGACACAGATCGGCCCTGACCAGAAGCCACGGCTGGGTGCCGAGCAGGGCATGTGGTGATGCCTCCACGGGAGACAACAGGGAGCACTTGAGAGGAGGGACCTGCCACAGACATGCCCCGGGACAAGGCAAGAAACCCAGAGCTTCGGGGTGTGGGCCTCTGGGCAGGCACACGCAGCACTGGACAGACATGGGCTGGCCGGTGTGGACAACATGCCCAGGTCTGCCTGGAGCCAGCCCAGGCACTGGCGCTGACGTGCACCGGGGGTGCAGGCATACTCTAGGGAAACGGCCCGCGTCTGGTGCACTCAGCACCCAGGCGGTGGGAGCAGGGAGGAGGCCAGCTCGCCGGCCAGTCTGGGGCAAGTCCCTGTTCTCCCTGTCCTGGCGCCCCCTTCTGAACCAGGAGTCACCTGGGCCACGGGGTTTCATCAGCCTTCTGAGACCCTTACCCTTTCCCACCACTTTGTCAACCGCCTCTTGGGTTCTGGGATGTTCTGATGGGATGTTCTCGTCCCATCAGTTTCTCCTGCCATTCCTCGATGCTCTTCCTACACTCAAGAACATTCTAGGGAACCAGCAGTTAGCGTAATGGCTATGTCACTGGACTCCCACGTAGTCGACCGCGGTTTGCGTCCCGGACCCGGTGGCTTAAAAAACTCACACCGGGCGCGTGTGCGTGCATGCCCAAGATCCCGAGAGGAGAATGGAGGAGAAGGGATTGCGGCGTGACCATCCCCTCTGGGGGGCGATTTCTCGCTTTCTGTCTCTATGTCTCTCTCTGTCTGTCTGCAGAGTGCATGCGCCCTATAGCGAAAACCTCTCCAAAAAAAAAAAAAAGAACATTCTAAAGAAGGTTTAGCAGTGCCAGAGGGATGCAGTCTGCAGGCGGCCCACACGGGAGGGCCCGGGGTCGCCTCAGGCTGCGCTGAGTGCCCGCAGTTCTCTGCCTGGGACACCTCGTCTATCCCCGGCGCTGCCTTCCAGGGGTGAACGACGCTGTAACGGACATCCCCGTGCAGGTGGCGGACCTCTGTGACACCCACGGGCCACCCCCGTGCAGAGCTTTCCCCAGGAGAAGTTCCCTGAAGCTCCTGGGCCTGGGACTTGCTCTTGGGCTGCTTATGGATCCTTGTCCTTTAGAACCTCACATCTAGAATCTTCTAGACTGGGCCGGAAGAGGCCCTGGAGATGGATCATCTGAGTATCTGTCCTCCCTTCACTGTGCGGATTAGCTAAAGAGAACAGACCTGCCCAGAGCCCAGGGCAGAAATCCCCCATGCTCGGCTGTGGCCCCCGAGGTGGGGCGCCCACCTAGCGCTCCCCACCTCGCCTAAGGGCTCCAGGGCTGCTGGTGGCTAACCTGACTGCTGGCGGGAGGCATCTGGCTGACTGCCCTCTCCCCCAGTCCCCGCCGCTAGCCCGGCCTGGCCGGGCTAACAGCACAGCTGCCCCCGGTGAGCAGCTTTCCCGGGACTCTGGACACTGGACTCGAGGCTGCACCAGGAGGAGCCAGGTCTGCGGCCATGCCCGGCTCCCTGTAGCCCACACCCCAGCGGCTCATTTGCTAGTCAAAGTCTGGTGTACAGAGGGGGCCTGGGAAAGCCCTGGACACGTGACCCATGGCGGCCAAGAGCTGAGAGTGGCTGCTCCCGGGGACGAAGACTGCTGCTGGGGGCCCAGACGGTGGCAGTGGGGGAAGCCACCATCGGGCAGTGCTGGGGGTGCTCAGGAGAGGCCACCTCGAGGCAGTCCAGGGTCACCGTGGCCACCAACAGCCCACAAGGACCCACTGAGTAATGCCAGGAGACAGACCAGGGCCTCTGAGGGAGCAGGTGGGCTGTGCCTCTGTGCTTCTTCGCAAGTGTTTTTGTGTTTTTTTAATTTTATTTTCTATAGGATGTATGTGCTCTCTAGAGAGAGAAAGTAAGAAATCACCCCCATGGAGAATGGCCACACTGCAATCCCTTCTCCTCCACCCTCCTCTCAGGATTTTGTCCGGGGTGTTTTTCAAGCGGCCCGGCCCAGGATTTGAACTGTAGTCATGTGGGACCCAGCTCCCTTAACCTCTAGGCTTCGGTGGGTCCACCATGTCTTTCTCTAAACAAGAAGGGCAGGCCCCACAAGGCTGGGTCAGGGCGGCCCCAGCTCTGGGCCCTCTGGCTGCCTGACTGAGAGGGGCAGTCAAGTCCTACCCCAGACTCAGCCCGGAAGCCCAGGTGGGCTGGGGAGCCTTCCTGCTCTGGGCAGCCCGCACCCCCCCCAGTGCCAGCTGCGTGGGGTGGGAGGAAGTGGTGGCACTGCCATTTCCCTGCTCCAAGGCTGCCCATCTGTTCCTGGGCTAGGGCCCCTCTGCCCTCCCCAGTCTGGAAACTCGCTTTCCTGGGACCCTGGGGAAGGAGACTACATGGCTCCTCCCTCCTTCCCCTGGGGGGTGGGGAGGCCCCCTGCTGTAGCCCCAGGCTGTGCTGCCCGGCTCCTACCAACAGTTCTGGGCACCTGAGGGTGGCGGGTCCCAGGCAGCACAGCCCCAGAGGCACGGCCATGCCCAGTCTCAGAGCTGCTGTGAGCCTCCTCCCTCCCCTGCTCCTGCCTGGCTGGCTTCCCTGGCTGACAGCGTCACTACCCATGCTGACCTGCAGGTGGAGTATGGCCTGGAGGTGGGGTACGGCATTTACTTTCCAGGTAGAAGTTCTTGGGGAGTAAAAAGGCAAAAGACTTCCCTGCCCTTGGGTGAGTGGTCCCCATGTTGTCACCTGTGGGTGAGCACTGCCCCCTGCTGGACATAACGGGTGCGGCCGCCTGGCCGGCGAGTGAGACACAGACTCAATAAAGCACAAAGCAGAGCCAGGGCCCTAGCGGCTCAGCAGCAGAAACTAGTCCGGTCCTAGCAGTGCTCACGCTGCCCAGGTTCAGGATCAAGTGAGTGCACAGGGAGGGGAGCAAAGCCACGGGCTAGAGCAGGCAAGGCAGGCCTGAGTGGGGGCTTCACGTGGAATGTGAAAAGGCAGAGCGAGAGCAGAGGGCCGGGCAGCCTGAGGGGGCCGGGCAGCCCGAGGGGGCCGGGCAAAGGCCATCGGGTGGATGGCATAATCTCTCTCTTTGGGAAACAAAAATAAACAAAAAAAACTGGGACCAGCAGATGGAGTAATAGTTACATCACTGGACTCCCCCTTAATCGACTGTGATTCAAGTCCTGGACCTGGTGGCTTAAAACTCATAAAGGGCGTGTGTGCGTACGTGCCCAAAATCCCAAGAGGAGAATGAAGGAGAAGGGATTGGGGTGTGGGCATCCCTTCTGGGGTGTGATTTCTCGCTTTCT